CAGACAACCCCGTAACAATATGCGTTTTGTACTGCTGTTACACAGCACAAAACGCATAAAAATTGCTTTTAGGGGGAAAAAAATTTTGCATTTCCATCAAGAATATCAAAAATACCATAAATCGAGTGGGCTTACAATGCAAATATCCCATATTAGTGATGTTACCGGGATGTTTCCACAAGTTAGGAGCAGCTGTGCAAGCCGCTTTGTCCCTGGACTTCATACTTCTAGTTAGTACCCATCGTTTGTTCGATATATATGTACCAACTTTCGTTAGCTGGTTAACATAACTATATGCAATTGTGCAGTAACATGTTTTCAGAAGCTAGAAAAATTCAAATTTAGGAAAAAAACTCAAATTTTTTCATTTTACGTAATTTAGTTAAAATAATTAGCTAATGTGAGAAGCCGCAGATCTCTAAACTTTTCTAAATTTTACTTTCTCTAGCTTCTCAAAACATGCTACTGCAAGATTATGTGATTATACTTTATTTTCCTATTTACTCGTTCCCCCATTTGCCAATGCAAAACCTGGAAATAAGTGCACACAGCCCAAACTTACTCGATAGGTGTCGTCTGTTGCTTTCGAAAGTAGCACCACTTTGCAATTCTCACTGAGTTTGGCCTCCTTCTCCAGCGTGAAATCAAGCAACATAAAATCAATCGCCTTCTCACCATCCTCCAGCAGTTTGAGTGATCGAAGAAGCATGCTGGTTGATGCATTCCAAAACAACAGATAACCATCGACAGTCAGGCCGACAATGTAATGGCATGCAAATCGAGCTGATTGCAAATCGCGATCACTGACATAACGGACGCGCACGAAACCAGCATAATCTGCAAGACCAGAAAAAAAAAGTGAACTCAAAGACTTTAATAAAAATAACACGATTTGTGGAGGCTCAAACGTAAATAAAAAATTGAAAAAATAAAAATTAGAGAGAGAAAGAGAGAGCAAAGAGCTCATTTGAATTACAGTTTACAGAAGTAAAAGAATATAAGTTCATTCGACTAAATATTAACAGTTGTCCCCTAAAAAGGAGTGTATGCGACTTGAGGGACCAAAACATACCTATTCAGATTTTAATCTTATTTTATTCACACTTCCCTTTTTTATTTCCTTATATCTTTCATAAACATGTACAAATTGAAATTAAAATAATAACAGTTGTTCCCTAAGCCAATTTCCAGGTAAAGATTTGATCAGGTAAAAAACAGATTTATAAATTTCCTACCAATTCTGCTCTCTACAAAATGAGTAAGATATACACATATATGTCACGAAAAATCCGTAAAAAGCCGGCCAAGAAACCGCCACAAAGAAAAAGCGAAGAAAGGTTTATCTTGCCTTGAAAGATAGATACACAGTAGATGTGCTGCCAGACTGAACTGGAGCAGGAGAACCGGTGGTGTAGTGGTAAACACGCTGCGTCTGGACATGAAGAGGAGTGGTTCGATTCCCTGCCGGTGCAGAACAATTTCTGAGAAAGGTCAGATATATATATATCTCAAAACCTACATTGCTCAAAACCTATGATGAACTTTACATGTATTATCAGCAAAATATTAGTAAACTGGCAGCAATGCATCTAAAATACATAATTTACGGGCAATATTTGGGTGGATTACAAGACATATATATGTAATTCAAATTTCGTGTATTAGAAATTCGTTTCAAAAACCGGAGCTCACAAATATTTCAAAAAATAAAGACTAAAACACCAAAAATTTTATTCTACGAGATCCAAATTCACAGTGCATTTCTGACCCTTGACGAAAAAGCTAACCGTCAAGATCGAAAATATCCAGTGCCCCTTGCTGACCTAAATTAACCTGGATTGGTCCTGCCTTCGTATCCGATACCAACTGAAATAAATATAATCAAAAAACAGTTCACGAAGAATAAAGATTAAAAAAAAATTCCAATTCTTATTAAAAACTGTCAATTAGTTGAAATTCTACCAAAAGGTACAACAACCATAAACGCTGTGCCTCTCATAAATGCTAATTTGTCTGATACTTTGAAATAACTATTTGTTCATCACTGATTTCTCAAGTGATGTAGCCGAAAACCGTACCGACCTTCGACTTTTGCCTTGAGTTCTCCGTATTCACAAATTCTAGTTAGCGGATCAGTCCAGCGCTGCGATCTTTATGATTACTTATGAATAAAAAACTATTTTGAATGTCAGCCCCCCCCCCCCCCCCCCCCCCC